ACCCAATAAGAGACTATCACAACCAATGAAAAGCCATTCTAGTTGGAACTCCCTGTTAATTCCCACTTTCCTCTATAAAAGAACCTTCCTCTCCTTTCTTCTCTGGACTTGCCTATTCTTCTGTTGAAGCTTGTTAGCCCTGATTTGCAATTCTCTGCTATTCCCAAGTTAACCTATTCTTGCTGGTAAAAATAACTGACAGTTTTATATTTTAGGTTAATGGCAAAGACATACACAGATTGTATGGAAATGAGATATGAGCAGGGGGGCTTAGCATAGAACACAAGGCTGATACCTGGTAGATCAGGTCTCTCTGGTTCCTAAGAAACCATAAGGAAGGGACCCAAGGGACCCAAATAGGCAGATATTAAAAGACACCACTTCTTAGGGAATGCACGTGTGGAAAGGGGAGCCCCTGTCGGAGACTTAGTGGCAGCAGGCAAGAATGAAGCAAGAGGAGATATCAGTGGGTCTTTGGAGCCCAAATACCTGATTACATAGGTTGCTCATTTCCAGAAGAAATTATCTGATCAAGCCCAGTCTCATTTATACCATTTCTATTTGACAATGGACTGCCTCTATACACATCCCATTTTAAGACTTCATAGGTCAGATAGCTCCCAATTTGTGATGGATAATTCCAGTTTCAAAGTGACTCAATGTCCCATGGTCAGGCATTCGGTTTTTTTACTGGGGTCCACTAACAAGTAAAGAGATGCTTCTCAAATGGAAAGCACTTGTCAACAGAAGAGGACAAGGCTTGACCTCAATACTCCAAGTATGTGTTCTGTGATTCTCCTACTTGAGTATGCAAATGTTCTACCCAGCATCTTAATCCACCAGAGACACATTTAGTAAAATGCATAGGCTAGGTGCTAAGACCCAACTGGCAGGCAACTTTCAACATACCCTGGTCATGCTGCAGAATCTTTTCTTAATCTGGGTCTTACTCAAAACTAGTAGCCTTAAAAGGCACGAATAGACACTTTTTCAAAGAAGACATCCAGATGGCTAACGGACACACAAAAAGATGCTCAACATCACTCTTCATCAGGGAAATACAAATCAAAACCACAATGAGATACCACCTCACACCAGT